TTGTCTCCTATATTTCCTATCTAAGCATATGTGCGAGCTACAATCCAAACTCTAAGCACATATGTAGGGGGAGCAATTGCTACCATACAGGGTTCATGAAACTTGTCCATATCATTTTACACATGGTAAATATGCTTGGGCAAGCAACAAGGATTCAATAAAATTTCAATTCATATCTTTGTAAAAGAGTTGTCATCAATTACCAAAAAGGGGGGGATTGAAAGCTCTAGTTTGGTTTTGGAGAATTGATGAAATCCTAAGTGCTAACCTAGTTTATCACGTGATCATGAGATAGGTAGCACATTCCAAGTGGTGAAGCAAATGAAGATCATGACATGATGATGGAGATGCCATGGTGATGATCAAGTGCTTGGACCTGAAAAGAAGAAAGAGAAAAACAAAAGGCTCAAGGCAAAGGTATAAGTGGTAGGAGCCATTTTATTTCGGTGATCAAGACACTTAGCGAGTGTGATCACATTTAGGTTCAATAACCGTACTATTAAGAGGGGTGAAACTCGTATCGAAATACGGTTATCAAAGTGCCACCAGATGCTCTAACTCATTGCATATGCATTTAGGATCTAGTGGAGTGCTAACACCCTTGAAAATGTTTGTGAAAATATGCTAACACACATACAGAAAGGTGATACACATTGTGTTTAGCACTTGGGAGCAAGGGTAAAAAACTTCACCGGTGGAGTGTCTGCCCGTAGAGTGCGGACAGTCCGATAGTGCCATCGGCGCACTATACAGAAAAGATAGGGTTTCACAGAGTGCACCGGACGCTGGCCTTAACTGGATCGGTGCGTCCGGTCAGTGGAAGCAGTGAAGATGATGGCGTCGGTCTTTGACCGAACGCTGGGTCACTTCATGACCGGACGCTGGCGGGGTGCGTCCGGTCCTGCTGACATGGCAGCGCACAGAGGAGACAACGAGTGATCGGACGCTGGGTGAGTTCGGTCGGGCATGACCGGACGCGTCCGGTCACAAGTGGAGGCCTACTGGAAATGATCGGACGCTAGGGTCCTACGTCTGGTCATGATCAAACTGACGTGTCCGGTCGCAGCTGGAACCTTACTAGAAGTGACCGAACGCTGGGGTCCTGCGTCCGGTCGTGGCACTGTGCTGCATCCGGTCATCACTTGACCGTTGGGATCGGGCGCTCAGTATTTGAAGAGAGGGATGATGTGGTAGCCATCCGTTGACCGAACGCTGGCAGGGTGCGTCCGGTCGATCTGACCAGAGCGTCCGATCACCCCGAGCAGTGCCTAGTGAAGGGGTACAACGGCTCTATTTCGTGGGGGCTTCTATTTAAGCCCCATGGATTGCTCAAGCTCATTCTCTTGGCCATTTGCATTGACATAACAACCTTGTGAGCTTAGCCAAAGCCCTCCCACTCATTTTCATCATTGATTCATCATCTTTGTAAGATTGGGAGTGAATCAAAGTGCATTGCTTGAGTGTTTGCATCTAGAGGCACTTGATGTTCGTGTTTCGCTGTGGGATTCGTTTGTTACTCTTGGTGGTTACCGCCACCTAGACGGGTTAGAGCAGCGAGGATCGTCGAGCGGAGGTTAGTGATTATTTCCGGCTCCGATCATGGTGATTGTGAGGGGTTCTTGACCTTTCCCCGGCGGAGAGCCAAAAGGTACTCTAGTGAATTGCTCGTGTCTTGTGTGATCCTCATCTTGTGTTGGTTGTATGGCACCCTATTGAGGGTTTGGCATGTGATGCCAATTAGCGTGTGAACCTCCAAATGAGTGAATCGCCACAACAAGGACTAGCTTACCGGCAAGTAAGTGAACCTCGGTAAAAAATCATTGTGTCATCTTCCGAGGTGATTGGTCTTCATTGATATTGATTCTTGTGATTGATTGGTTTATTCCTTGACACAGCGGTATAACCATCTTACTCTCTCTCTTTACATTACCACAAACTAGTTATCAAGCTCTTTAGTGTAGCTAGTTGTGAGAGCTTGTTAGTTTGGTTAGTGTGGCCCTTTAGTTAGTCTTTGAGAGCACACTAATTCAGTGTAGTGACATAGCCATTGGGTGAAAAGAAACTATAGAAACTAGAATTGTGGTAGGTGGCTTGCATTTTTAGTAGGCTAGCGCAACGCTTGCTTCGCCTCTTAATTGTCTAACCGGTTTGTTAAGTGTTGCTGTAGAAATTTTTAATAGACTATTCACCCCCTCTAGCCATTAGGATCTTTCAGGGTGACCTAGAATCGACATTGGTGTGACTTCTCTAACATTTTTTCTTCTCGCACCAAGAAAGAAGTTGTCTCTCCCATCTCTTGGTGCCATCCACTAGGGGGAAATCACCGCCACCACCTGGTTTTGTTTGGTTTCAAGGACTAAAGTTTAGTTCCTATCATATCAGATATTTGGACACTACTTTAGAGTGTTAAACATATAGTAATTACAAAGCTAATTATACAGATTGAGACTAATTTGTGAGACGAATCTATTAAACCTATTTAGTCCATGATTTGACAGCGTGGTGCTACAGTAAACATGTGCTAATGATGGATTAATTATGCTTAATAGATTCGTCTCGTAAATTAGTGTCCATATGTGCAATTGGTTTTATAATTAGCCTATGTTTAGTCCTCCTAATTAGTATCCGAACATCTAATGTGATAGTGACTAAACTTTAGTCACCGGCAAACACCCCCACATGCCACCTTCCTCTTTGCCATAGCCTCTTTCTTGCATGCCCTATCCAAAGTTGGCCTTTGGCCAACCCCATCCACCACTACTTGGCTGCCGCTATTTTTTGGCTCACCTGCGATTGCGTACGAATGGCTACAACGGTTGGGGATGGCTGTTGGGCGCCTTTTGTCGGCTGGGGTGTGCCTAAGAGTGGCTAGGGGCCGTGAGGTTGTGGGAAACGGGCGTAATCTTTGTAGAAAGAAGATCAGGTTGCCCCTAGCAAACCTTTATACGTGATCGTTTTTTGAATTTTTAGGAGTTAGATTTAAAAAACGGTTGGAGAAATCTAACAAATATGTTGAGAACTCTTTTTAGACTTAAAAGCTCATTGATTTATCAAATCCTTTTTTAAAATTATTAAAGATTCTCTAAGATTATCCTATCTGTTATCGTTCAAATGACACCTCTATTTAGAAAAGCATTTTATGCTCGCGTACATCCATGTGGCAATCCAGCTGCTTCGCAGCTCCACCATGTAAACCCAGTCGAAGTCCTAGAAAAATTCTAGAGCTCACGCAACGGCCATAGAAGATCCGCACCGTACAGCTAGTTGAGGACGTGCCACTGCACGGCGCATCCCGTTGTAGTCGTGCCCTTTTTCTTTAATTCTTTCCAAAAGAAATTGATTTTCGTACCCAGGAAATTATTTTGTAACTAGAGAGAAATTATTTTGTAACTAGAGAGAAATATGAGACTAGCTAAAATTCGTGTGTCGAAATTTTAATTTCCTTTCAAGCCAGCATTACTGCATATATTTTATATTAAAATTATTGCTTTAGTTCGTTGTAATTTATATAGCCATAATCTGTAATTTTCGGTTCCGAGAATACCATTAAATAAAACCACAAACTCGATAAAATCTGATCCGTGTTGACACAAAGATAATTAATAATTTATAATTGTTTCTATAGTCAGACAAGAAAAAAAATTTAATATGCTGTGATAATAATTTAATTGTACTAGTTTGTTCTACAAGAGTGTTGTCTAAAAATCATCTTGAAATTTACGGAAGGGCTAGCCACCGAACATTCGGACGGAATGGTGCGTCCGGATGCAACTCCCCCACCCGCATCCTGTCCCACGCCTCCATATTCACATCCCGCCCCACGTCTCCGCGTCCGCATCTCTCCCCGCGCCAGTGCCCGTGTATGTTGCAGGACCACGCCCTAAGCCAACCTCGTGCTCGCATGGGGAACCCACGTGGGTTGAACGATGGTTGTGCCCCAGCAGCAGCAATAGGCGGCTGCGGGAGGATGCTATCCGCCGGCCACCGGTGCCGTACAACACCCCGATCTACTTTAGAAATATTCAGATGGAATATTTGCAACATACATCTGAAAAATAGATGAAACAAAACACATGTATATAGGCATAGCGACATATGCAGCATCCAGATCTACTTTTGTGACACCCAGATAAAACATTTGTAACATAAGTATGAAACATATAAAAACTTGAAACACACGTTTGAAACATGTAGGTAGAGCTATAACAATATATGCAGCATCTAGATGGAATACTTGAAACATTAGTTTGAAAACACCTGAAATACTTAAAACATAGGCTTACAAAATGCGTATATTGTCATTGTAATGTATCAAAGTCCAGATTTACTTTTGCAACATCCAGATAAACACTTGAAATTTAAGTATGAAACGACTGAAACACTCAAAATACAGCATCGCCAGCATCACGGCCTACCTGGTGGAGAATTACAGTATCCAGCAAGCTCGGGTCAGGAAACGTCAAGAGCTACCCAGCGTACATCCAGGCGTAGGCGTAGACATCCACTTCTTGACGCGGTGTCTTTGGTCGGCCGCGGTGCACGCGATGGCCGCTACAGCGCGAGGTGGATGGGGGCACGATGCGGGGCACGGAGGAGCGCGGGGATGGTGGACGTGCCAGCTGCGGTCGCATTCGTCGGTAGAGAAAGAAAATGTCGCTGTCTTTTTTTGGAAACCGTGAAACAATTAACATGGAGCGGCCGATGGTTACACAGACCCGAGAACGGGCCGTCCGGTACCAGAGAATTTTTAAAATATATGGGAAGTGGAAAAAATATTTGGGAGGAAAAAAAAAAAGAGGAAAAGGGTGCAGGCTTTTGCTTTGCTTCGGGCTCCTATTTATAGCTAACTGCCCCGAAAGCGATCTCGCCTCGGCTCATATCTCATTTTTCCATTTCGCCCCCTCCACTGTTTCAATAATAATAAAAGGATTCTCGATTCGTTTTCCTCGCGAAATTTTCCGGTGAGCGGCGGCGATCAGCTTCGGATCGGCGCAGCGGAGATGGTTGCCGTGGCGGCGGAGGTCCCGATCCGCGGTGCGGACGCCGTGCCGGCGGCGGAGAGGGAAGCGGTGAGGGCGGCGGCTGCGGAGGCGGCGGCGAAGGGCGGTGAGGGGGAATCGAGGAAGGAGGAGGTGAGGGACTATGAGAGCGACATGAGGAAGCTGGAGGAGCTGTTTTCGAAGCTGAACCCCTCGGCGGAGGAGTTCGTGCCGCCGTCGCGCCGCCGCGTGGACGGCGGCGCTCATCGCCTCTCGGCCGACGCGCCCGTGTTCGTGTCGCCGGCGATCGACTACTACGCGCGCCACCACCATCTCCCGCCGCCGCCGCTGCAGCAGCAGCAGCCGATGCACGTGCTTCAGTTTGTGGGTGGCGTCGGCGGGGGTGGCATGGGTGGCGGCGTGGGGAGGGACTCCAGCAGCGATGGATCCGTCAATGGTCAGCCGAATCGACGGGTAATCATTGAATTGCCGAGTCCGATTCGGTGCGGATTGTATCCGGGTAGGGGTTTGCAGTGGGCTGTTTCTGGGTCGATCGATCGGTCGGCTTTGGACTTTTTTGTGATGCTGATGGCTTTGGATTTTTGGTCACTCTCGCGCCATGGCTTGGGGGAGCTGATCTTTTGGGAGGGTTTTAGGTCTAGATTGGTTGCAATATAAAATTCAATCCATCTGCCAGGATCAATTGATATTGATACTCTATGATACATGGGATGTTTAAAAGATTCTTATCAGCTGATTACTTCCTGATCCCCTGCAAATGAATTTTCTGTCATTGGATTTTCGTTATGGTTTCTTTCTCCGTTATGTTCTCCCAACATATTGTTCGCCAGTGCTATGAGTTGGGTAGTACAATTGGAGTACTTTCTTGAGAATAATCAGCTGCATTTGGTCTGTGATTACAGAGAAGGAATGGTTTCATCCAGGGGAGGAGAAGAATGATGGGTGGCCGGCCTCGTCGAGTTGACAGGGAGGATAGTGTGCGGCGAACAGTCTATGTTTCTGACATTGATCAGCATGTAAATTCTTGAGAATGAGCTATCGTGTTTGGTATATTTAGTTTTATTTTTTTCTTGATCTGTTGATCCCTTTGATTTGCAGGTAACTGAACAGAAACTTGCTGAAGTTTTTTCAACCTGTGGACAGGTGTGTTCTAAGGTTCCTGATATTCAATCTAGTTGAGGTCATATGATTTTTATTCGTCTATATTCTGAACACCACAAATAACGAAATATGAACATCCTATCATTTTTCTTACATGTGCTTAGCTCCTTTGTAAGTTGTGTCTACTCTGTAAGCATGTCTGGTGGGTGCTCATGGTTATGTGTGTGCGTCTTTGGCCCTTTGGACTTTATGTTGATTGCAGCCAATGTTTGTATTTTTTAGTAACTGGTTTTCGCTAGGATGTATGAACTTGTTAACAAGTTGGATATGACTGTAGTTTCGTTGTTCCTGAGTAATGAAATTCTGGTTCCCTCAGTATGGGGGAAAAACTGATCACAACATTTGTCTCTTCGGGCTTAAAGATTGCAGGGGGCACACTTATTATCTGCAAGTTGCAAATACATGGTTTTAAACTTATATTGTTGGACATTCTGTACCTTGTTAGAATACTGGCATCTTTGCATTATAAATAAGCTATCATGTGTATAATTGAAATCTTAGTCTGTAATTTGTAGGATAGGTGAACAAAGAATGAATTTGCAATATAATCTGTACACATATTTTCAATTTTGAACTTAGTTGGGTGCCATCTGGTCATCTGGACTTATAATTCAGTTAATTGCACACAAATAATTAAATCAGTTACTTGTTATTTATAACGAATTCCCATATTTTTTAGGTTTGCCATGTTTTCTTGTATAGGCACTAGCCAAGGTATAATGTCTCTTGCAGAATTAAGATCAACGTGGTCTAACCTTTTGAATCAATCATATACTTAAAATGCTTTTCATGGAATTGCAGATTTGTGCTTCTGACAAAGCATCTATTTTTTATTCATCTGAGAAAGTAGAAACAAAAATTTTCTCTTGGGTAACCAATGGTCACTGAGCTTGTAAGTCCTGTGCGTAATCAGCCCATGAAATGATGATGGTGAGGTCTCCTTGAGTGCTCATGTAGACCATAGTCTTGAGGCGCATTGTTTGCCCCCTTGTGCTCCCTGTGCTCAAATCTATCTGATCCAACCAGGCAGCAACGCCTCCAGATACTGAAGCTGCAGGTCCAGCCAAGCCATTTTCCAAGGTTTCCTGTTTCATTTATTATGCTTGGGTGTTGAGAGATGGGTTTTTTTACCTGTGTGGCCACATGGTCCTCCTGATTGCCCGATGTGTACTCCCTCCTTGCCTAGAAAGCATGAAGTTGGTACACTGATCCCTAGTTTCTACCTAAGATTGGTTAGAAATATTAAAGAAAGATGGAAGATTGAGGCATTGTGTTCAGATTGATAAGCATGAATTATTCTTCCTTTGGCATTTCAAAAGGGATAGTGACATCAAACTGGGGTAGATGGATTATATTATTTCGCGAAACATGAGTACTACCCATATGGAGAGTTTAAATTTAAATCCATATTATGTAAACAGGTAGCTTAAACATGGTCGTTTCACTGCACCCTGTCCACTGCAGTTTCAAAATGCTTCATAATGTGGGCGATGTTGTGTGGTTACATTTTATCTCCCTATGTTTGACTTATTATGACACATCTTTTTCACATGTAGGTGGTAGATTGCCGTATCTGTGGTGATCCTAACTCAGTGCTCCGTTTTGCTTTTATCGAGTTTGCTGATGATGGTAGTAGCTTTTGACATGCCAATTGTTATTTGATAGTCCTACGTTGGTGTAAGAAACATTCCTTAATGAAGCTGCTTTTTCTGTAGTTGGTGCACAAGCAGCACTAGCACTTGGTGGAACCGTGCTTGGCTTTTATCCTGTCAAGGTTCTGCCATCAAAGACAGCAATTTTACCTGTGAACCCTAAATTTCTTCCTCGAGTAAGTAGACAGATAAATTTACATTATCTGTTAATGTTAAATCTCTGTAATAAATGCATTATATTTATTTTCCTGCAGTCTGAGGATGAGAAAGAAATGGTATCCAGGACTGTGTATTGTACTAACATTGACAAGAAGGTATGCTTTGTGCTATATCATTTCTGTTTCCCTTTTATTATGGTAATGTTAATTGGTGAAATGTGAAAATAAAAGGACATTTCAAATGCTAAGGTCTCCTTTTGAGGCCTTCTATTTTCTTTTTTCTGCTCAAATGCTATATATAATTATTGTACTACAACTTAAGGCGCATATGTTTACATTAGAAACCAAGTGTGTTTGGGTGTGTGTAAGGGTTCTTGCCCCTTTTTTCTTAATATAAAGGAGAAAAAAATTGTACTACAACTTATCTTTTTTGTGTAGATTGGAGAAGATGAAGTGAAGCAATTCTTCGAGGGAACATGTGGTGAAGTATGTGACCTCTATGCTCTTATTGTAGGCATGTGTTCTTTTACATGACTGAGTATAAATAATCTGGATACATAATTATCTTCCCTTTTCCTTTAGGTTTCTCGTCTGAGGCTACTTGGTGATTATGTGCACTCCACATGCATTGCCTTTGTTGAGTTTGTCCAAGTAAGTAAAAATGGAACTTCAAAATTTAATATTGTCACAAATAAATCAATTTCTATATCAGAAATAATGCCAAACACAGTAAATGAACAACACAAACACTTTTTCATGTAAACATTTCCTGTTGGAAAGGCGAGTATTGCAATATTTTGTTTGTAAAATCGTCTAATTGGCGATTGCTTTCATGCTTTGTAGCAATTTCGTCATTGAACTTAGCTTTTTCATCCTTCCACATCTTATTTCCTCCAGACTGGATGATTCACTTTGATTCTGCTCAAATGCTTAGTATTTACCTGATTCATATTTGGATCATTTATTTGCATTGCAGCTGACATCATTGGTTAAGCATTAGTTATCCAAGTAACGAAGGGCTATTAGCAGTCATTTGAATTTTTCATTTCTGTTTTGGGTGGCAAGTTTCAAGAGTTTCTACTGTATTATAAAGCTTCTTGTACATTATTATCATGTAGAACTGATGTCAAGCTATAAGGACTTTTCGTTTCCTAACAGATAAAGTAAGGTCAATTACTGATTCACGCCACAAGCATCGTAGCTTTATCCACCGACACCTTTCTCCTGGCTTCAGCTGCATCTCATCTTCCTACTGCTTTTATTCTGTGTCAGCTGCCAGTCTTCTAGAAACTTGTTACTCCCTCTTACAATATTTGTCCATGGCCTCAGGGATATATGTTCCGCAAAATTTCTCCATTGAGGAGATCCAGACTGTAGTTATATCTATGTTTTCATTATCTAACTCTAATCTAATAAAATGCTTTGAAAGAAGATAAGTACTGTCATATTATTTGTTAGGGATATAAATGGTCATTTTACTTTGATTTTTTTTCCTGGAAATAGCACATCCTTGGTGGCTATGGATGAATATTGTAGAACAGAGGGATTATTTTACATCCTCTTACACGGCACACATAACCATATGTGTTCACATTACTTGGATCATTATGCTTCGCAGTCTTGAGTCCTAATTGTTATAACATAGATACTTCAAATGACCATGTCTTTTTTTTGTCGTAGTTTCTGATTTTTGAAAACATACTGATATAATATATGCCCCTGTAAGGTCAGCAAGTTGTAGGCAATTTTGTGGTTATGTTGGGCGACATCTTGTCAGCAGCAATCAAGCACCCAGCAACCTTGAACTTTCAAGTATAAGAAACTTATAAGAATTATAACATACTTTCAACTGAAACATTACGTGTTTTAGCGAATTTCGCTCACCATGTAACAAAGCAATTAACTTCCAAGTAGTACGGAAACAAACTTGGGCTTCATTAATGTTTATGATCTCTTTGGTGATCCAAAATGGAGCTATGATCAGTTACTTTGCATGCAGAGAATTGAAATGTATACCTGTATATGTAATGTAATTTTAACATGTCATATCCTGAAAAGTTAAATAAACATGCAGTTCGACTGGTTACCCAATGAGTCGTATCTCAACCAGTTGTCTGTCAATGGTGTCTCCACAAAGTAACACTGTAATTATTGTAATACAGTATAAAAACAAGCAGTGAGCATTTTGATTATATGTTTGAACCTAATAAAACCATGATATTATTGAAGTTTTTAAGAAATATATCAATTTTTTAAAATCGTTAAACTGCATGCATCCAAAAGCACCCTTTATATTTTAGTGTCCCCTGAGGTGCACAGGCACAACACTAAGCCAGGCAGCTCTGCCTAATCTAGCAATCTCCAATAGGTGATCAGGCAGGCCTGGCCTTATCTGGTCATGTTGTGTACTTGTTGATTAGGACTTATCTGGTGCCTAGGCAGGCTAGGTGACACCTTGGGCAATTAATTCCTTTTCAAAGTAATAGTTTCATTGGATAAACACAATTCATCTGGATGACTTTTTCTGACAAACTCAAGTTAGCAACAGAACAGTGATTTCTCACTTATGTGGGATGTGCATTGCTAGATTTTCGTTAAGAAAATTATCTTTTGATACAAAACAAGTATGCACAGGTATTAAAAAAGGATCACAAGAGTTTCTTTCTTATCTGACACCTGCATTTCTCTCTGCCTCTAGCATCACTTTTATTTTTGTTTCCTTTTAATGATATGATATGAAACTGATGTATCTTTGAATGGATGAGACATTTATTTGCCTGATGATTTGTTCCTTTTTGGAGCTTGACCATTTAAAATTCTGTTTATGCAGGCAGATAGTGCTATTCTTGCTCTGAACTGCAGTGGCATTGTTCTTGGAACGCTTCCTGTTAGGCAAGAACATATTTTCTGCATGTGTTTGAAAGTTCTGGCTGTGGTAAGGGTGTCTGTCGCCCATTTTTTGCTTATACTCTACTCTGTACTGTTGATTTTTGCAGGGTGAGCCCATCAAAGACGCCAGTCCGCCCTCGATCGCCCCGTGTGACGTCATACTGAATTCGGCTCATCTGAAGCCGTCGTCCAGGGCAGCAAATTTCTGGGTACTAAACCTTAGTCGTGTGGCCTTAGAGACTGTCGTGTTGCGGATCAGTAATTGTTGTTGAGCAGAGTTCTCGTTGGTTAAAATCTAGTCTAGTAGAAGGCCCCTCAGCTGATGTTTCTCGGATCAGAGACCCATCTCTATGGTCCCTGGGAGATCTATTTTGACCTCCTTTTTTTCTTCTTTCTTTGGTCTTTGTTATCATGGATGGATTCTATAGCAGCCTTTGACAGGCATTCGAACAATAATGTCTGGCTTCTCTTATCCGCTTTCGTCTTTGAGCATGTTTCCCAGTGACTGCTGTTGTGCACAAATGCTGTTACTGCAATTTGCAACAGGCCTGAGGCACTCGCCCTGTAACTGCATGTCTAACATATGCATAATCTTTTATTTATAGGGAAGTCGGTGCTTATAGACTATATGTCAAAGTTAGATTACGGCAAACGGTGTGGGATCATCGTAGTGCTGTTTGGTTTAGGGGTGGCCAAGGGAACGGTAATGCAATTAGCCGCCGGCGTTATCAGTTACATGGAAACTACTATAAAAGCTACGTATTTGTTTCGGTCCCTGTGGAAATGGGAGTGCTTTTCATTCGCCCATTTTTCTTGTCTTTGGATTTGGAAGACGGACGGCCACTTCTCTTTGGCTGGGCAGGGGCAGGGGCCGCGTAAATTGCGGCCGCTGGGCTTCGTCTTCGACCGGATTGTCAGTACAGTGGCATCACAGGTTCAGACTTCAGAACAAATCGATGTTCGTGTCCATTCGACAAGAGTCTCAACGTGCACCAAATCCAGATCACGTGGTTCGCATCTTTGATACTAGTACTATATAACTGAGCGCGCTGAGCAATCTTGCGCATTTATAATTTAACAACACTTGAATTTTGCACTTAAGATCGTAATTGGCTAATAATTGCATATTTGCGATCAGATGGGAGTAACCAAGCCTTATTCACTTGAATTTTGCACTTAAGATCGTAATTGGCTAATAATTGCATATTTGCGATCAGATGGGAGTAACCGAGCCTTATTCTCCAATGAGGCTTCGTTTGTGGGATGCCTTGTTTGTGTTGAAATATAAAATGGTTTGCTCACTTTTCATATCATTTAAATTTATTTTGGTTAAACTGATCTGCACATGTAAGTTGTTACGATAATTATACGGCACGGGCGTCCGTTCCGTGATCTGCACCTGGACGCGGTTCCTCACATGCAGCTCTATCTCTAAAAAAAAATCCACACTCATCCGCTCATCGCGTGACCCCGAGGCCACGACGCAAGATTCCGCCTCCGACTTCGAGTGACAGTGCTGCCGCCCCAAGCGCTGAGGCCGAGCCGCTCGAGAGACACCCCGCCGCTCGCTGCCCCGCGCCCTCGCCTGGGCCTGGCGCTTGTCACCGAGCGGAGCTGCGCGCGTGGCCACGTGGCGAGCCACGACGTGGCCGCTCATCCGTCGAGCCCCTTCCCCCACCGCGGAGTCTCGAGATTGCTGGCTACTACAGTCCCCACCAGGTAAACTTATATTTCAAGTGTTTATCTGGACATTTCAAAAGTAGATCTGGGATGTTGCATATGTTGCAATGATAATATACACATGTTGCAAGCCTATGTTTTAAGTATTTCAGATATTTCAGACGAATGTTTCAAGTGTTCCATATGGATGCTGCATGTGTTGCTATGGCTCTACCCGCATGTTCAAACATATGTTTCAAGTGTTTCATACGTTTTATATTTATGTTGCAAGTGCTTCATCTGGATGTTGCAAAAATAGATCTGGATGTTGCATATGTTGCTATGTCTATACACGCATGTTTCAAGCGCATGTTTAAGTGTTTCAACTGTTTCAGATGTATGTTGTAAATGTTTTCATCTGGATGTTTCAAAAACATATCGAGGTGTTACACGACGCGGCTGGTGGCTATCGCTGCTGCTGGAGCGCAGCCGTGGGTCAACCCACGTGGGTTTCCCCATGCGGGGCGCGGGGGCACGGCCTGCGATAGACGCGGGCGCTGGTGCTAGGCCGGATGCGGTACGCGAGGCATGGGACAGGATGCGAACACGGAAGCGACATAGGTGACGCGACGACCCATCCGGACGTTTGGGCACTGGACCTTCCCAACTTGTTATACTACTAGAGATAGATGTTTTGAGTTCGAATTTTAGCTAGCGTAATTAAATAAAAATAGTTGTTGCACGTCTCTATTCTACGACTAGGATGTGATGGAGCCTCCACGTAACATGAAGTGTGTCAAATATAAAGTGAATGTTCGTTTTTTTGTATCAGCTTAAATTTTTTGGTTAAAACTTTTTAATTAAATTTGCACGGGCTCAATATTTAGTTGGGGTTTAAACACGAGAAGGATCAAATACAGAGACCGGCTGCCGCTCTACATACCGGTTGCAAGCTCTAGTAGAAAGAACAGAAAAAGAAAAAACTCCGCGCCTTCGGAAACTCGGAGAAGCGTCACCTACTACTCAGCTGACTCGTCACCAACCGCGCTTTCTGAGTGCCACGAGCCCACGACGCACCAATCGTCGATCAGACGTACCTGTATATAGAAAGCAAAGAAACACACGCACGCGGACCGTGGCATTGTCAGCCAGCAGTCGTGCACACGGGCCCATCGACATCGATCATCCGTGGATGGCCAGCTCCCTCCGCCATTTCGCCGGCCTCGGCTGTTTCCCCGCCGCGGCGTTTAGCTCTGGCTCCACCTGCTTCCTGCGCCGCGACATCCCAAACTTCTGCGCCTTTGTGGCGCTCCGTCCGATCAGGCCGCCCGCCGCTGCCACGGCGCCGGCGAAGCCCCCTGCCTCTCCGTCGCCACCGATGGAGGAGCACCGGCAGGCCGTTCCGATCCCGTGCCACAGCGGCGACTCGCCGCCGGCGTTATCGGCAGCAGCGGTCCCGAAAACGCCGCTGCGGCTGGGGATCGTTGGGTTTGGCAACTTCGGGCAGTTCATCGCAGGCGGCGTGCAGCGGCAGGGCCACGCCGTGCTGGCGGCCTCCAGATCCGACTACTCCGACTATTGCGCCCGCCATGACATTCGCTTCTTCAGGAGCGTCGACGCGCTGTGTGAGGAGCAGCCGGACGTGCTGCTCATCTGCAGCTCCATCCTGTCCACGGAAGGCGTCGTCCGAGCCATCCCCTTCCACAAGCTCCGCCCGGACACCATCGTCGCCGACGTGCTCTCCGTGAAGGAATTTCCCCGCAACCTCCTCCTCGAGGTAACAATGTCGTACCGTACGTACTGCAGCAATCAAAGCACTCTAATTACTGGTACAGCATTAACCAGGGTCCAGTTTAGTTTGCAAAAAATTTTGCAAAATTTTTCACAATCCTCGTCACATCGAATCTTTGGACGCATGCATGAAGCATTAAATATAAATAAAAAATAAAACTAATTACACAGTTTAGACGAAATCCACGAGACGAATCTTTTAAGCCTAATTAGACTATGATTGGACACTATTTGTCAAATAACAACGAAAACGCTACAGTACTCATTTTGCAAAATTTTTTACATCTAAACAAGTCCCAGGCTTTTCACACACCTACCTACCTTTTGATGGTTGGCAGCTGAGTTGATGTTGGTGAACCACGGAGAATACTATGCGGTCGTTTGGATCGCAGCCTGTGAGGCCAGTCTCAATGGGGTTTACGGGGGTTTCATGCACAATTAATAAGGTGTCACGTCAGTTTTTTTTGCATAAAACTGGGAGGAGAGAGAAGGGATTCGTTTCATGGCCACGAAACTTATCCGCACTGTTTCCAAAACTTCGAAAACGCCGTGAAACCTGCACTGAGGCCCTTCCTTCATTTCATCGCGACTTTTCTTCTCCGGGACCGTGCGTTCTTCATCGCGACTCCGCAGGGCGCGGCCGCCGGACCGTCGCGGGCGAGGCCGCCCGACGCGCTCGCTCGTCCGCCGATCGCGGGAGATCCGCCGGCGCGGGCGGGAGCTCCGCAGGGCGCGGCCGCCGGACCGCCGCGGGCGAGGTCGCCAGCCGCGGGCGCTCGTCCGCCAGTCGCGGGAGATCCGCCGGCGCCGTTCGTCGTGAGCCGTCCGTCGCGAGCTGCCCCGTCGCGACTCCGCCCGCCACACGTCCTCCGCCGGTCGCAGTCGCCGCCGGGCGCGGGCGCCGCGAGCGCGAGGGCTCCGCCCGCCCGCCGCCATGCTCGGCCTCCACTCCATGCTCGGCCTCCAGGCGGTGACGAGAAGGATGTGGGGAAGAGAGGGATGATAGGGATAGGTGGGACCCGTGAATAGTAAAATAAGGGACGAAACCGTGCCATGAAACTTTGCACTGTGGGAGAGACCCGTTTCATATCAAAGTTTCACGTGTTGAAAACTGGGAGGTGAAACTCTCCATGAAACTTTGCACTGTGGGAGAGACCCGTTTCATAATAGCCAATGGGCTGTATCCACCAATCAGCCCCATTAGCTTTTATTAGCCCATGTTTAACCCAATGGTTCTCAAACAGCTAGTGTAGGAAAAATTCCTATCAGGGAGAGATATCAAATAGCTAGCGACTTCCAAATAGTTAGTCTAGCACGATCTCCTAGAAACAGCTCTCACAGCTCAAATAATTCTCCAATTCAGTGTTCTTTTTTTTTTTTATTTCTAAGCTCAATCTAGCCACCTATTTGAATGTTGACATTGAGGATGCCCTTAGCTCTGTGTATCAACACCCCTACGCCTATTCCGTGGTCCAGAATTCGTTACTTGATTTTCTCTGAATTTCTGGGTGACGACGACAACAAAGACGTTAACCCTTATGTTGGCTTACCAACTGTACTTACAATGAATGGTGCGTTGCTGTGTCTGGAATCCAGAATGAGGATTGTTGATCACACTGATACATTGCCAATCTGGCAGGTTCTCCCACCCGGATTTGGGATCATCTGTACACACCCGATGTTTGGGCCGGAGAGCGGTAAACATGGCTGGGGCAAGCTTCCCTTCGTCTTTGACAAGGTCCGTGTCACGGAAGACGGGGTTCAGGTGGCAAAGTGCGACCAGTTCTTGAGCATATTTGAACAGGAGGTAGGTAATTCTACCGGGACTTTTGATCTCTTTGGTTTGATGTTCATTCACAGTGGACCATTTGTGGGAGTAATTTTGGGTCAGGACAAACTGAACATGTGGATTTATTTTGTGTTTCATTTCGTTCTAAACGATTCTTGTAGGGATGTAGGATGGTGGAGATGTCATGCACGGAGCATGATCGCTATGCCGCGGGAAGTCAATTCATCACGCACACAATTGGGAGGTCAGCAACATTACATTTCATATCTGGAATGTTTTTGCAGTTATATATTACTCCAAATTGTTTCCAATCTCTGCCTGCTTAGCGTCATGCTATAGATAACTCACGTTGTTTGGTGCAGGGTTTTATCACAGCTGAACCTCAAGTCAACCCCAATCAACACCAAGGGTTATGAGACCTTGCTGCAACTTGTAAGTGGTGAATGGCATGGTCTTGTCCATTCTTGATTGCTTAGACGAGGGGCTCTTATCGCCTACTACTAACCTTGCAGACCAAGAACACCGTAAGTGACAGTTTCGATCTGTACCACGGGCTCTTCATGTACAATATCAATGCCACAGAGCAGGCAAGTGCTCTCCACTCTCCATATGCTGTGCTATCCCTATCCCCTCGACACATTATGCATTAGTTACATAAGCTGGTTTTGGTTAGTCTGTAATGCATATAGCGCAATTGTTTGTTAACAGTATATATGCCTAAAAGCTCAAACATCAGCCTAATTTTTCACTACTTCACGTGCAGCTCGACAACCTGGAAATGGCATTTGAGAAGGTGAGACAGATGCTGTCTGGCAGGCTCCACGACTTCATACGAAAACAGATTGTGGAGAGGGCGGCCCCTGTGCCAACGGATCCTTCAGGAAAATTGGCAAATGGTTTGTCCAGTTCTCCTGCAGCTCGCCTCTTATAGACAGTAACTGAAGAAAAAAAGACACATGTATCCCCCGTTTCCTACGCTTTAACCGGATACTTGCTGCCCAGGGAAATGCCAATCTGTACATCTTCCTAACTATTACTTCGTCCCAAATTATAGTTCACTTTGATTTGTCTTAAGTTAAACTTCTCTAAACTTGACATGTTTTTTTTAAAATATTGATATCTACAAGTTTAAATAAATTCTCTACCAAAACATATCAGACAGCATATTGCACGAAAAATCTAATAAAAATGATGTTTTAGATGTTGGTTGATTTTTCTAAAAAATTTGATCAAAGATAAAAATATGTTTAACTTAGGACAAAACCAAAGTGAAACGGAATTTAAAATAGTGGGAGTATGTGTTTAACTTAGGACAAAACCAAAGTGAAACAGAATTTAAAACAGTGGGAGTATGTCGTTGTTGTAAGTGTGCAGTTTCCATAGTTGTTACTATTGGCTAGACCATTAAGAGTATAAGGCCACTGCTCTCCTTTTTGTTCCAGATCTCTCCCCTCGCTTCGAGGCTTTTTGCTTGCTAATGTAATAGGAAGAATGACAAATTTTATAAAAAAAATCTATAACACCAAATAAGTATATTATAAACATATACTTTATGATGTTATTATTATTGACATATGCAATAGTTTATTACTACATTTAAAATCTACAATTGGAACTTAAGATCCAATAATCTGCTATAAAACTGCTGGGTTTCGAGCAAGTGGGACAAGAAAGGACTAGCGGAGGCCTTCGCCCGGTGGAGTGCCCTGGGCGAAGGCGTGAAAGACGGAAAGTGGGCCTAAGCCTGATTGGGGTATCATAAATGTATCCCCCTAACCCCTTGTACAAAGATCGAGTTCCCCTTTAATAGGGCACTGCTTACTAAGGCTACTCTTTATAATTCTACCCCTTGTCGGTCACAGTACATCCTCAGAATATTTTTATTCTAATACAAACTGCTAGGGGTACTTTGGGTGCCTTCTTCGACCACCATTGCTTGATAGGCCGCTACCGTGAGTCCGTTTGCGGCCCATGGCCCGTCACCGCCGCCCTGCAGGAAGTCCCCCGGCTCCTAGAACCTTCGCCTGGGATGACCTTCGCTCGGACTTTCACGTTGACTCCTGTAGCCTCCGCAGGTATTGCCCGAGCCTACGCCTTCGGCTGCATCCGGGCACCTTCGCCGCAGTAGCCGGACCTTCGCTCACGGCGTCCGAGCCTTTGCCTTCGGCTGCATCCGGGCGCCTTCGCCACAGTTTTCGGACCTTCGCTCAGGGCATCCGACCAGGCGGAGGTTCCGCCCTTCTTTCCCTGCACAATGCTCATAGAACATGGTTAATTGTTAGTTCTTGATGCTACTGCAATCCTCAGAGCCTCTGTGACTCGTAACCGTGTCCCAATAGTCCCGCCCTTGAGGGCATGATCTAATGCTGGCGGGCCTTGTCCTCAAAATCTGGCCCTTAGGTTCTGAGGCACGGAGGCTTTTGCGCATGCGGAGGCTTCCCCCCTTTCCCCCCTGGACCGCCTAGATCAGACCGTTGCGTTGGTGACGTGTCACTACCTGATTCACCGCGGCGGCTCTAGAACCGACGCATTTTTGAATGGATGCGACCGTTGGCCCTGGAAGTTGAAAGGGCGGGGTGGTGGCTATATAAGGGGAAGTAGGTTAAGGCTTCTCCATCTCCATCTGAGCCATCGCTTTTGCTACAGTCGCTTTCTAAGCTCTTTCTTCTTTGCTTAGCCTTCGCTTAGTTGTTGCTTTGCCTTCGCTTCCTATTGCTGTTGCTAGATCCTAGAAGTGGCTTCGCCTATTAGTCCTCCCCGCCGAGCTACTTTCTTCAGTCCGTATCGCCGTCTTCTCGGCGTTAGAGCGAGTGGGTGGTCTGCGCGCTTTGAGGAGTGTATGATTGCTAGCGCGGAGGCGTTGAGGCTTGAGGAGGATCTTTCTAGAGTTGAGGCCTCCATCGCTGATTTGATAACTGCTGAGGAGGCAGGAGACATGGCTGGCTCATCCATGACATGGGATTTTTGGCCTTTGCTCATGACGAAGGACATGATCGAGGAGTTGCGTAGATTGGGCTGCTTTGATGAGGCTAAAGTGAAGCCTCCACAGGGGGAGACAATTCTTAAACTGTAGGCCGCTGATGCCGTTGTCTTCAAGGACTTTTTCCTTTGTGGCCTTCACTTCCCTGTAGCACGCTTCCTTCGCCAAGTCCTAGAAGCGTTCGATGTACAGCTGCATCACCTTACTCCCAACGGTATTGTTACCTTGAGTAAGTTCTGCTGGGCCTGCTTGTCTTATGGTGCGGAGCCCAATGTTGGTACTTTTTGTGAGTACTATGAGCTCCAGCGCCAGCCTAAATGGGTTGGCGAAGGCTAGTTGGTAGCTCAGTATTCAAGCTGCACCTTCATGCCCAAAAGGAATCAGAAAGTAGAGAAGTTGGAAATTTGTTTTGCTTAGAAGAACAAGTGGAACAAAGACTGGATGCAATATTGGTTCTATGTTAGGTCCGACGGCATGACCTCTATGGATAGCGAAGGGAAAACACACACCCGTTATCCGTTGGCATCCGTGATGACCCCAATGAAGCCTTCGACTCAAGGAACTCTGGACCCGGGGACTTCTGAGGGGCGCGAAGCATGCGATAAGGCTTTTGCCGTGGCCTATCGGTACTACGAAGGCCGAGATTTGGCGAAGGAGATGGTAGTAGCTAATTGCTAGCCGCTTGGCTGGAATAGACACACCATGGCTATTGAGATGGTGAACCTTCCTGTCTTGGGCAAAGGAGTCAGGGTTCCCTTTCCCCGGTTTGGTTTTCAGCCTAAGGAGGGCAGGTATGCTAAAAGAGTAGTAAAATCCACAGAGGCGGGGGCTCGAGAAATACTCGGGGAGATTTCTGATAAGGAGTACCTGGCGCGCAAGGCCATCGCCGGTACGATGCCCCGTCTCAATTTTGTCTTCGAGGAGCTCGGGATCCATCATGAGGAGCATGATGTCCCTGCGAAGGTGCACAAGTCGCTGGAGGATAAAGCTAAGAAGGTTGCCACCAAGAATGCGACTGCTGCGGCTGAGGCAAAGAAGAGAAAGGGGACTGACGCATCTAAGGTCATCAGTAAGAAACAGAAGACCGTGGCCACTTCTGTCGCCGCCTCCACTACTGCCTCTGTTGACGCTGATGAGGAGGTCGCGGAGAGCATTAGCGGAGGCTTGGCCTCTATGGGCGCTGAGATAGAGGGTGAAGGGTCCTAATGGCTAGAGGGGGTGAATAGCCTATTAAAAATTTCCGCAACAACACTTAACAAACCGGTTAGACAAATATGAGGCGAAGCGAATGTTGCGCTAGCCTACTAGAAATGCAAGTCGCCTATCATAATTTTAGTGACTATGATCTCTAAGCACTCAAAGGCTATGTCACTACACTAAGTTAGAGTGCTCTCAAAGAGAGCCACACTAACTACTAGACTCGTCACAAGCTTGCTCTCAAAACTAATTACACTAAAGAGCAAAGCAACACTAGAAATGTAAATGCAAGAGAGGGGATGTGATGATTATATCGTCGTGTCGAGGATAGAGCCAACCACAATATGATGGAGCCAATCAATCACAATCAATCAAGAAATCCTTGGAACAAGATGACACAAGATTTTTACTGAGGTTCACTTGCTTGCCGGCAAGCTAGTCCTCGTTATGGTGATTCACTCACTTGGAGGTTCACGCGCTAATTGGCATCATGCCAAACCCTCAATAGGGTGCCGCACAACCAACACAAGATAAGGATCACATAAGCCACGAGCAATCCACTAGAGTACCTTTTGGCTCTCCGCCGAGGAAAGGTCAAGAACCCCTCACAATCACTATGATCGGAGTCAGAGACAAGCACCTTCTTCCGCTCGACGATCCTCGCTGCACCAAGCCATCTAGGTGGCGGCAACCACCAAGAGTAACAAGCGAATCCCACAGTGAAACACGAATACCAAGTGCCTCTAGATGCAATCACTCAAGCAATACACTTGGATTCTCTCCCAATCTCACAAAGATGATGAATCTATGATGGAGATGAGTGGGAGGGATTTGGCTAAGCTCACAAGGTTGCTATACCAATGCAAATGGCCAAGAGGGTAAGCTTGAGCCAGCCATGGGGCTTAAATAGAAACCCTCACGAAATAGAGCCGTTGGGCTCTCACTGTAGCCCGTTGCGGGGTGACCGGACACGCCGGTCAAATCGACTGGACGCACGCCACCAGCGTCCGGTCGCCCGATTGCTGCCACATGTCACCAGGCGTTTAACCTCAGCCGCTGATCTCCAACGGCTAACTCAGACGCCCGCGTGATTAAGTAACAACCGAACGCGCCGATCCGCAATCAGCCCCCACGCGTGTGCCACAGCCACGTCGTGATCTGACGCGCCAATCCCTATGGCTCCACGGCGTCAGGTCGCGTCTAGAGAGCATCCAGAGCGCCCAGACATGGACTGGACGTGTTAGGTCTACCACGACCGGACATGTCCTAGCGTCTGCTTGCCCTTCACCTTGATGTCCGCCACCGCGTCATCAAACGTCAGCCTGACCGGACGCACCAGCATCACATTAGGTCACCGTTTGCCTTAGCATCCGGTCAAGCATCAGATAGAGGCCGAGTGCGCCAACCTTTTTATAAATGACCGGACTCACTGACCCCGCATACAGTCAGTTCGAGCACAGCGTCCGGTCACTGATTTTTAGTGAAAAATCAACTCCTCGACTTCACCAACTTCTCCACCCTTGCTCAAATGTGCCAACCACCAAGTGTATCACCTTGTGCACGTGTGTTAGCATAGTTTTACAAACATTTTCATGGGTGTTAGCACTCCACTAGATCTAAATGTATATGCAATGATTTAGAGCATCTAGTGGCACTTTGATAACCGTATTTCGATACAAGTTTCACCCCTCTTAATAGTACGATTATCGATCCTAAATGTGATCACACTTGCTAAGTGTCTCGATCACCAAACC